GCAGATTTTTGAGGAGAAACAGAATATTTGCATAATCTTTAAGTGTATCTCCCAAAACATGCATTAATTGTTTTAAAAATTACTGACTAGTAATGGAGGAGACTGTTAGAAATACCATCTTAACCAAGGGATCAAGACATATTGACATCACATGCCTCCTTTTATATGCTATGCTGAGAACAGATCACTTCTGTGTTCTGTTAACAAATATGCAAAACCTCAATGAAATCACGAAAAAATATAAGACAGACCGAGATTGGAAGACATTTTACAGAGTAACCAGTAGTTTTTTATTTTTTATTTTATTTTTTATTTTTTTTTCAACGTTTATTTATTTTTGGGACAGAGAGAGACAGAGCATGAACGGGGGAGGGACAGAGAGAGAGGGAGACACAGAATCGGAAACAGGCTCCAGGCTCTGAGCCATCAGCCCAGAGCCCGACGCAGGGCTCGAACTCACGGACCGTGAGATCGTGACCTGGCTGAAGTCGACGCTTAACCGACTGCGCCACCCAGGCGCCCCTAACCAGTAGTTTTTTAAAGTGTCAAGGTCACAAAGACAAGGAAAGACTGACACTTACAGATTGGAGGGAGTAAGAAAACATGACCACTAAATGCAAAGTAGGATCTCTGCAAAGACTTTAATAGAAAAGCTGGTGAAATCCAAAGTCTGGAGTTAGTTAATAGTAAAGTGATTAAAATAACATTTCTCAAAAACTAAACTTAATGTAAATGATGGTGAATTAAACATTAAAAATGAACTTGCTAAACATTATACGATTAGGTGTGGTGGATCTTGACTTTTAACCCACACTGTATAACCATTGGACTCTTACTTGGTGTTAGTACCAGGGTTATATTGTTCTTATAATGAGTTTGGGGAGAATCCTCATTTTTCTTTTCTCCAAAGACTTTACATAAGAACAGAAAATAAAGAATTTTCTGTTTTTTGTGAATATTCCTTAAAAATAGTTGACCTGTTGGGGCACCTGGGTGGCTCAGTCAGTTGAGCATCTGACTCTTGATTTCGGCTTAGGTCATGATATCATGATTTGTGAGATCAAGCCCCACGTCAGGTTCTATGCTGACAGTGTAGAGCCTGTGTGGGATTCTCTCTCTCCCTCTCTTGTCCCTCTCACCCCCCTCTTTCAAAATAAATTAAAAACAATTAGAAAAATATTTAAAAAAAGAATAAAAAAATATTTGAGCTGTTAGTATTTAGGAGGATAGATCATTTTAAATATTATATCATATATTAAATCATATTTTAAATCATATTTTATTCTCTCTTTAGTAGCTTTTGTACATTTTTAATTATCTTTAGGAATTTACCTAAATATTTAATTTTATTGACATGTAAGTGTTCATAATATTCTCTAAATTTCTAAATCACTACATTATCTGTAGTTGCATTTCTTTAAAATCATTCTTAATACTTTTTGCCCTATCTCCTCTTTTCATGAACCATTTTGCCTTATACATTTATTTTGTGGATCTTTTAAAACAACTAACTTTGGGCACTTTTATTCTCTTTTTTCTACACTAGTTTTCAATGATATCACTTCCTGTTTTTATCTTAATTATTACCTTATTTTTCTTTGATGGCTATTATGTCTTTTCTAAGTTCTTATGTTTAATGCTTAGCTCATTAATTTCATATTGTCTTTGTATTAAAACACACAGAGTTATAAATTACCTTCTCTAGGGGCACCTGGGTGGCTCAGTCAGTTAAGTGTCCACCATTTGATTTCGGCTCAGGTCAAGATCTCATGATTCATAAGACTGAACCATGTCTGACTCTGCCCTGAGTGTGGAGCCTGCTTGGGATTCTCGCTCTCCCTCTCTCTCTGCCCCTCCCCTGCACACACTCTCTCTCATTCAAAATAAATAAATAAACATAAAAAAAATTACCTTCTCTAAGTAGAATCACTTTGTACCATGTTTCAATTTCTTTTCACTGATTTTTCAATTATTTTTAGGTCTCTATATTTGTATCTTATTTGAACCATCAGTTACATAGGAATTATTTTCAAATTTCTTTTAAATTTTCAAGAATATGAGTATTTGGGAGTTTTCTTTTTTTGTATTAACTTCTGTCTTAATTGTAGGATGGTCAGATAATTTAATTGATACAGATTTATTAAAATTTATTCAAACATGTCTAATAATTTAATTCTTGATCAATTGGGATTCAGTGCTTCATGCCAGCTTAAAAAAATCTGTATTCTCTAGATGGTATGTGCAGGTTTCATATACATATCAATCAAATCATTCATATTATTTTTATTTATTTTGTAAAATATTCCATGTATTCCCTATTCTTGGTCTGGTTAACTGATCATTAATTGAAAACAGCATTAATGTGGCTACACTTCACATATACTCTAGATCTGAGAATAGACAATCATGATACCGAAGATTTTAACAGCAAGTGGCTTTTAAAGACATTATAAACTAAATGATGAAATTTAAAAAAAAAAAAAATCCTAATGTCAATAATAAGTGCTTTCAGTAGAACAGTGACATTATTTTTGTGTTTTAGAAAAGCTGCTTCTGCTACAGTGTAATAAATCAACTTACTGAGACGCTGCTTCTATAAAATTTAATATTTTAAAGGAAGTTGTAGCAGTAAATAGATTAGAGTCAGTGATGTTCTGTGATAGAAAGATTGTGAAACAGATATTTTTCAAAAGAACAGTTAGAGGTTTCCAGGCAAAGAGTTGTGTGGAAAATTGAAGTAAGGAAAGAATACTGGAAAAGTCTAAACCTGAAAGAGACCAGTGCTGTGGAGAGTATTAATTAAGAGAAGGATGACAAGACAGAGAAGCAAATTTATGGAGAGACAGCTTATGTATGTTTTATTTCAAGTTCAATGGGACCAATCAAAGAATTTTGAAGCTCTGAGTAATTATCAATAGGGTTATTGTTTTCATAAATAAAAGCTTGAAACACACACAAAAGAACATTATTGTTTTCAAAAGGATAACATGACTGCAGTGTATAATAGCATCTGAGATTTTATTGAATTTAGTCAAGTAAAGGAGCTTGTAGACAAGTTAGGAAGTTTCTCATTTATCTAATACACAAATAAGTATATAATGGCCACTGCATTGAAAGAAAAAGCGTGAGAAAATAGTGGTGGAAAAATACAAAGTCCCTGTTTCGCATAACCTCTTCATGGTACATAAAAATAAATAAGTAAATGATACAATGATTAGCTGTTGCAGGTACTATGAAGAATGGGTGTAGTATTTCCGATAAGGCTATTTTCAATAAGGTTATTGGTGAAAGCTTGTGAGGGAGTCACAGTTGAGCAAACATCCGAAGGAAGGGAGTGAGGGCCATCTGAATCCTCAGGGACAGGAAATTTGAGAAGAAACAGCAAAGGTAAGGAGTGCCAGAAAGACAATAGCCAAGGAATGAGTTGAGAGTTGCTTTCAACAGTGTTACCAAAAATAGATGCAGAGAAAAATGTAAAAGAAAAATTAAACACTACAAAATATAAAAGAAAGAACAGGCTGAAACGCACTGGGGAGTGGCAGAAGCGGAGTCCTGGGAAATGACTTCCCAAAGGGAGCAGGTAGACGTCCCTGTGTTAGGACTGCCGTAATAAGGCACCACAGATTGGGTGGCTTAAACAACAGAAATTTGTTTTCTCACAGGTTTGGAAGCTGAAAGCCCAAGATTGAGGTTAAAGATCAGCAGGGTTGGTTTCTTCTGAGGCCTCTGCTTGGCTTCTAGATGGCTGTCTTCTCTGTGTCTTCACATGGTCTCAGCTCTGTGCCTGTGACCAGATCTCCTCTTTTGGAAGGACACCAGCCATATGGGATTAGAGCCCACCCTAATGATCCCATTTAGCCTTAATTACCTCTTTAAAGACCCTGTCTCCTAATACAGTCACATTCTATGGTACTGAATGGGGGGTTCAGGCTTCAATATAGAATTTTGAGGAGCACAGCCCCCAAACACTCACTGTAACACTGTAACAGTGCCATTTTCTCAAATTTGATAAATTGCATTGTGATTAGAAGAGAGTAGTGGGGGAAGAATTTTATGTGAAGGAGATAGCATGTGAAAAACGGAGAGAGAGAGATGTAGACATTAACTTTTGACAAGAAAACTTTGTAAAGTCCAATTTGGTGCAAAACTTCCATACAAGTGTCTAAAGGAAAAATACACTGGGAAAGAATATACTCAGGTAAGAGCATGACTGGCTGAGAGGCCCGGGCTTTATCATCTACATGAAGGAGAATTACTTAAGGTTTATGAGCATGAAGGTGCTATAATCAGAAGAGGGCTTCAGGTCAATTAGTCTGTCAGTAATATATAATTTATGATCATAAATTTATGAGATTTATGTTTATGCACATAAATCTCATCAGCAGTAGAAGTTGTTCCCACTGGAACGACATCTAGATGCACCAGAGGCTTAAATTCTTGTTTTGCTCTGGAATAGAGGGAACTTGTCAGAATTGAGTGTTTCACATTGACTGTGAAGGGCCACAGACTATTCTTTGTTTCTGCTGTCACAAATTTCTAGAAATAGGATTCCTCCCCACTAAAGCTGATTTCATGGAATTTTGTAATGTTCTGTCCTTCAGCTGAAAGAAACTAAGGTTAGTTAACAACTAAATAAAACCAAGGGGAAACAATTAAATATAAATATTCACTGTATATTCTGAGACTTGTTGTGATTTTATAAACACACACAGGTACGTATCTGCACTCAAAGCTGATCTCTAGTTATCTGTGCAAATGCAAAAAAAGACAACATGCTTATTTTTAAAACGGAGTTCTTAACATGATTAAAGGATAGCACTCACTGTTTGTTATATGCATAGACACAAGCCCCTAAATTCCTCTTTTTCCATTCCTAGACCTTAATCCATACTATGTGTCTTCAACTTTTTAATCAGTTAACATATGATGTAGAGTTTAAGACTTATAATGAAAAATCTCTTTCACATATATATATATATATTTTTTTTTTTTTTTTCCAGACACCATCCACCTTCGAGTTCTTGAGTCCTCGCCAGTTGGCACAGCCATTGGAAGTGTAAAAGCAACTGATGCAGACACTGGGAAAAATGCAGAAGTAGAATACCGAATTATTGATGGTGACGGGACTGATATGTTTGACATCATAACTGAAAAGGACACACAGGAAGGCATTATAACAGTGAAAAAGGTGCCCATAATCAGTATAAATAAGCATCTTCCCATTTAGCAAATAAGGCTTTCGTTATGTGCCATCCACTCATGCGTTGTCCATGAAGAGATGCCACTATCATGGCCAAATGTAATTTATATCAAGCACAAACATGAGAGACAAGAGCCAAAGATCTCCTTGGGCGTTTTGACCAAATGCTCTTGTTGACTGAAACATGAAACCTGAGTTTTTACAAACTTTAAAAGGCAAATTAATATATGTATGACTGTATTTTTGAGCCATGTTAATAAAAGCCCCCCCATAATAACATTGTTTTCTTTTAGTAAAAGCAGTTAATAGCTAATAATGGCAACATATCATCACAGTTGGAGGCATAGAAAGTAGCATGCCGTCTATCCAGATGTATGAAGCAATAATTAGAGCTGCTAATAAAAAAGACACAGCATATTTTCAAAGATAATTTAATTGTTCACATTTTCCCTTCTGCTACATAAATTAAACTTTTCTGCTAACATATGCTCAGTGATTCAGTTTAAAGGTAACTAGGTTTTTCATTGTAGCGTCAGTATGATCATTTTAAGAAAAAAATTAAGGCCCCGTGACAGATCCCAATGAAATGTCCTGAAAACTCTATTTCATTAAGTAACCACTGAAGAACTGAGGAATCAAAACTATCCAGAGATTCTGTTGCAAAGGCCAAGGTACACAACGAAATGTTTTTAAATGGACAGTGACCAGGAAAGGAGGAAGCAGCTTCTTTGTTGTTTTTCATGACTGGCAAGTAATAATAATGCAAATAGAATTTACTGCTTATCAGATAAAAAGAGGAAGGTTGAAAGAATCTCAAACCACAATGTCTTTTTTCTGTTTACAAAACATACCTTTTGGAGGGGTGAGAAGGGAGGAGCTTGATTTCACACTCCTTACAGTTAAACTACATCAATATTTAAGTCAGTTTTTTTTTGTTTATTCATAATATAACCTAATTACTAATTTGCTATCAGAATTTTTCTCTCTTCTCTTTACTCCAGGTTTTCCTGATCTTCAATGTTTCATACAACTATTGAAAATTTTGTATTAGTCTTCAAAATTACATAAAGTTTATTGTAGTACCATGAGCCCATTAAACTGAATGGAAATATCACGATATACATGTAAAAAGATAACTAAATATTTTGCTTGCAGACATTTAACAGTAATGCACACACATGAACACATGAACACAGACACAATCTACCAGCCATTAAAAAAAAAATTTAATGTTTATTTATTTTTGAGAGAGACAGAGACAGAGCTTGAGTGGGGGAGGGGCAGAGAGAGGGAGACACAGAATCTGAAGCAGGCTCTAGGCTCTGAGCTGTCAGTACAGAGCCTGAGGCAGGGCTCGAACTCAGGGACTGTGAGATCATGACCTGAGCTGAAGTTGGACGCCCAGCGGACTGAGCCACTGGGCGCCCCTCAGCCCATTTTTTGTAATGAGTCACCACATTATAACATAGATTTTAATGTTCTTTTCAATATTTCCAATATTTAAAATCTAATTTTCCTATATTCTGAAGTATTACACATTGAATGCATAAAAAGTAATAATCGAACCTTATCTGATATGTAAAGGTATATTATTAGTTTTATTACTTTATTTATTTATTTATTTATTTATTTTTAGCGTTTATTTATTTTTGAGACAGAGAGAGACAGAGCATGAACAGGGGAGGGGCAGAGAGAGAGGGAGACACAGAATCGGAAACAGGCTCCAGGCTCTGAGCCATCAGCCCAGAGCCTGACCCGGGGCTCAAACTCACGCACCGCGAGATCGTGACCTGAGCTGAAGTCGGACGCCCAACCGACTGAGCCACCCAGGCGCCCCTATTTATATTACTTTTAATTATTTCCGGTTAATAAACAACTTGACAAAATTCAACCAGGCTTTGACAATCACACTGTAACTTGAAAGGAACATATAATCCAATTTCCCTCATTCTAATTTGATGATTTACTTACACAGCCACTTGACTACGAGAGCCGAAGACTTTACACTCTGAAGGTTGAAGCAGAAAATACCCATGTGGATCCACGTTTTTATTACCTGGGACCATTTAAAGACACAACAATTGTGAAAATCTCCGTAGAAGATGTGGATGAACCTCCCGTTTTTAGCAGATCCTCCTACCTGTTTGAAGTTCATGAGGATATCGAAGTGGGCACGATCATTGGTACTGTAATGGCAAGGGACCCAGATTCCGCTTCTAGCCCCATTAGGTAATTATGCCCATGTTGCCGATGAAAGAAAGGGAATTGAAATAAGTGTAGAGAGTAAGAAATTCTATTGATAGCATTTAATGCATTGAAATATATGAGTCTGTCTGTAAGTTGTACATCAATCTGAGGAGCACAAGTGTTTAAAGTAAATTGTCTCTGAATGTTTTGGGGCATGGCGTGCACAGTTTTATAATTTTCTCCACTTCAGATCATGCCTTTTAGCCTAAAACCTAGCTTGTATCATCTGCCTGTATCTTTTAAGGTATTTGTTCTTCTGATCCCAGTACAGATAAAGGAGACTGTGTCAGCTGTGCTATCACAATGTAACTGAATCACTTCTTTGTGCTTTCAGTTATTAAATGATATGAGAAGTTGAGAGTTGTAACAGTTAAAAAGAATATGATTCCAACAATGTTACAATTCAGTGAAAATACATTTTAGAGACTCCCATGTACTCCTACCATCAAAGAAGGGAAGGTTTTTGTTTGTTTTTGTTTTGGCTGTTTCAAAAAGTATTTGTAAAGAAAATAGAGCATTCCAGAAAGATCAGAGTAATTTAATTTCACTTTTTATTTTTGCTTTGCTTTCTTATGGCAGCTCAAAAACACATGAAATATGATAAACACGTACAAATGAGAGAGACTCAAAGTTGTTATTGATTTTGTTCTATTATTTTAAAAAGAAATACGGATATCTATATATAATATTTACCGACAAAATGGCCATTTTAAACCATTAGTATATCATGTGTTTTGTATTTCACTCTTTTCCCTAATTCTCAACAGGTTAATTGTTCCTCCCCCTTGCTCCACATGGACTAGTCAAGTAAGAGTTTAAATGATGATTACACAATTTCCAAGCACACTCTTCTTTGATTCCAAAGTATACAACAGCAGAATAGGAAAAAATCTTGTATGCCATGTGCCTCTAACTCAACTCAAACTTAAAACTGCTACAGGTTCTGCCATACCTTCAAGTGAAGACATATTATATATAATATATATAGTAAAGAACTTGAAATAATATATTTTATATATATAATATGTCTTCATATATATAACATATATGTGTATATATATATATACATATATATATATTAGTGCTTGATTTACATAACTTTATCAAAATATTTTTGTTTTATTTTTATGATTTTTTTTTTTTAAATTCTAGTGTCGCTAAAATAGTGTTATATTAGTTTCAGGTGTACAATATAGTGATTCAACACTTCCATACCTTACTCAGTTCTCATCAAGATAAGTGTACTCTCAATCCCTTTCACCTATTTCACCCATCACCCACTCCCCCCACCAACTCCCCTCTGGTGACCATCTATTCTCTAGTTTTTTGGTTTTTCTCTCTCTTTCCTTTTTTTCCCCTTTGTTCATTTCTTTTGTCTCTTAAATTCCACATATGAGTGAAATCATATGGTATGTGTCTTTCTCTGACTGACTTACTTCACTTAACATTATACTCTCTAGATCCATCCATGTGGTTTCAAATTACCAAAATATTTTCTTCCATTCACATACAGCATCACAAATCACATACATGGCAATCATGTACAGCTCTCATTTACCAGCATGAATTCCCCATAATTGTCTCTTCCCCATTTGTCTTCATTGAAATGGATCCATTCTTAGATATTTTTAACTTTGAAGGCTTTATATAGCCAAAATACATACTTAGTTTTACCTATTAAATACTGTCCAAGCATTTTCTTGGCCTAGCTCTTCATGACTTTAACAGCCTGTGTTCTGTGTTCCTGGTTTGAAAGTGGCATTTTTCAAAAGAAATATATTATATCTAAGGAGAATTCAATTTAAATCCAGGGGTGTTAAGTGGCAATGTAAAATATTATCCAGACAATGAAATAGATTTTGCATCCTTTTATAGATTGATGGTTATCATATGTCAAAATATGTCCGTGGATTTTTGAAACAAAAGTAAAATATGTAATCAGAATGCAAGTCTAAGAAACGACTCCATTTATGTGTATCATTGCAATACAATTAATGACGTTATTGCTTATTAATGACAAAGTCTATTGCATAAAGGTTGTTGTATAATTGAATCAATGCTAACTTGATATAGAAAATTCAACTTAATATGTTGAGATATTAATCTTGATGGACCATGTAGTTTAAAAATATATATGTGTAATCAGAAATATAATAGTTTTACTAATGCAATGTGCTTATGGAATAGATAGGACTGGGGACATTTTAAATTGTTTATGTCATATAGTGTAGATGTTAATATAATAATCAAAGGGCTTTACTTAAATGTTTGTTCTGGAATGATTTTAAAAAATAAAATGAAAATTAGCACACAGAATTTGCCAATAGAGAATCAGAAAATATAATTATGTCATGTTTGAAAAAGAATCAGGATCTCTCTGTATCTTTAACATAATCTTACGTAATTCCTAAATTTTTAATTATTTTTAAAACCAAATTATAAGAAGATGAAACACACATAAAATTATATGACACGGACAATAATGCTTAATTTTGATCTACGTATTGCAACTTCACGGCATATTTCTATAGAAATAAGAAAACTTATTTGCCAGAACGCAAAGAAGTCAGTTGTTCTTTTTCTCATTTAACAAGTACTTGTGGATCCCCGTATCAGATATGAACATATTTCTCAAGGAGTTCTCAGTCTGTTAGGGAGGAAGATTCAGTAAGAGAAATGATATTCATTGAGTGCCTACTCCGTCAAGAATGATGCTTGGTTTTGTCATCTTTGATTTCCTGTTTGAGATGTAACTCACATGCTGATGTTGCAGGGAATTCCAAATACAACGTGGTAAGTGGCAGAGACGGGTAGTACAGGCACTTTTGTATGGAAGGTAGGTTGAGTCTTTTAGAGTAAAAGAACTTTGTCAACTTGAGACAGAATTCATGATTTTTCCAGATACAGAGATTCAGTGTTTTACAAATTAATGTGTGACTGGGAAGACATGTTGTTTGCATGCAAAACTGAATTCACATTTTGATACTAGAGAGGGCTAGACCTTATTGAGGAGATTTGTTAATTACTGTCCTGTTCCATTTAGAACTGATTTAAAATAAAAATCTAAAATAAGCAATCCTCAAAAGTAAAATCACATTAGCTGTATTGACAAGATATGTCATTCCTCTAATGCAGTTTATTCAAAACCCAGCATAAGGATTATAAATTTAAATGGATTTTTGGAAATATTATACAAGTTTGGAATATCAAAAGAGAAAAGAGTTTTATGGCACTTTAAAAATCATTTTGTATTATCACTCACAAAACACCATTTAAAAATAATATTTCATAAAAATATTAAAATAAATGACAGCTGTGGCTTAGGAAAAGGTATGCCAAAACTGAATGTTACTTTAGGATTTGTTACCTTTATTTTGCTTTGTTTTTTTAACACAGAGCATTAAATATAACTTGAGGATTATGCTGGCTAACTCAGGCACTATAAAGCATGTGTAAGCCACTAGCATTGTGAACTGGCAGGAACCAATGAGGGGTATAGCTAGCTTAAATCTTGCCTGACAATCCCCCAAATAATGGGATTTATGCCAACTATATCAACCTGATTGATAAACCTGTCAGTAGGCTTTAGAATGACTCCCAACACAATGCCTTTAATCAATTTGCAGCATAGTTGGTTTTTTATACATATACTAAGACCTTATTTGGTACAAATGTGTGAAAACTCCTTTCCCAAAATTTTCTGTTTTTTTAAACACCTCTTGTCAAAATATATGCATTTTTTTAATGATACATGTGGTTAACAAGCTGAAGCTTCATGGGTATCATACCATGAAGTTACTGAATATCATCCTAAATTGGTAACCTATTATTTTTAAATTTTTTTAATGTTTATTTATTTTTGAGAGGGAAAGAGACAGAGCATGAGTGGGGGAGGGGCAAAGAAAGAGGGAGACACAGAATCCAAAGCAGGCTCCAGGCTCTGAGCTGTCAGCACAGAGCCTGATACGGGGCTCGAACCCATAAACCGCAAGATCATGACCTGAGCTGAAGTCAGATGCTTAACCAACTGAGCCACCCAGGTGTTACAATAACCTACTCTTTTAATGAAAATACTATTGTCTCCAATTTCATCACTAAGAAAAAAACTATGCTTCTGGGAATGTTTTTTCTTTCTTTCTTTCTTTCTTTCTTTCTTTCTTTCTTTCTTTCTTTCTTCTTTCTTCCTTTCTTGTTTTTGCATTAGATCCTTATGGTAATTCCCTCACAGAATTTGCAGCTTCTGGCTAAAGTCAGCTGGTATTGTAACCACCTGTAATCCCAACTATCTTGTAGGAAAGTACTTCACGTTCAGTTGAATATGGCAATAGGTAGTGATTTAATAACACAAATATTCAGAAGACCAGCGTTTGAATGTGGAACAAAGTGGCAGCTCCTGCCTCCAGAAGAAGAGGGAGGTGGAGATGGGGTCGTGTGTGTGTGTGTGTGTGTGTGTGCGCGCGCGTGCGCGCGCGCACGCACCAATGCACACAAGTGTATGTGAGATAAATCAATGAAACAGTCTTCGTTCTACATCAGTACTATGGACTTGTATGAACTTATATGTTACTGTGTGTTCGCATTACAACATTTTCTCCTACAAACCGATAATACTGCCATGTATTTTTCTTTGCTTTTTTTGTTCAGATTTTCCTTGGATCGCCATACTGACCTTGACAGGATCTTTAACATACATTCTGGAAATGGATCCCTTTATACTTCAAAGCCACTTGACCGTGAACTATCTCAATGGCACAATCTAACTGTTATAGCTGCTGAAATCAGTAAGATGACGTTTTTGTACATAATATTTAACATATAGTTTTAGGTTTTATTTTATTTTAAAAATAATTCCTTCTGGGGCTGGGTGGCTCAGTTGGTTAAGCGTCCAACTTCAGCTCAGGTCATGATCTCACAGTTTGTGGGTTTGAGCCCCACATCCACCTCTGTGCTGACAGCTTGGAGCCTGGAGCCTGCTTCAGATTCTGTGTCTCCCTCTCTCTCTGCCCCTCCCCCACTAATTCTCTCTCTTAAAAATAAATAAACATCAAAAAAAAAATTCCCTCATTATATGCATGAATTGTAATTTTAGTCTAAGTTTTTAAAAGGCTTCTTAACACCTTTAATTCTTTTCAATAATTTATATATATACTGAGGCATCGCTACAGGTATCCCAAATCAACATTTAATATTGACTAATAAAAATTATCTAGAATTGGACACCAAAGATATCCTCTTTGGGGGAGAAATAAATGCATTACATTTATTGCATGGACACTGTAAATTAAAATCGATGCTAAACATTGGGTGTGTACCATTTAAAAATTTTTTTTTCAATGTTTAGTTATTTTTGAGACAGAGAGAGAGAGAAAGAGAGAGCATGAGCAGGGGAGGGGCAGAGAGAGAGGGAGGCACAGAATCCGAAGTAGGCTCCAGGCTCTGAGCCGTCAGCACAGAGCCTGAAATGGAACTTGAACCCATGAATCGTGAGATCATGACTTGAGCCAAAGTTGGAAGCTTAACCAACTTAGCCACCCAGGCACCCCAGGTGTGTATAATTTAACAACATGCATGTAGGTAGGTATTATTATTACTTCCTTCTTACAGATGAGGAGACCAAGATATTGATAATAATAGCTAACATTAAGCACTCTGTGCCAGGTATTATTCTAAGAATTTTATATTAATTTTCTCCTACTCATATTTTTATTGACTTTATGTATCAGAGAAGGAACTAAGGCTTCAAGGGTTTTGGAAACTTGCCAAAATCCTAATACCAGAAGTAGTAAAACTAAGATTTAAAACTAGTCATTCTGTTTCTAGATCCAGTATTTAATTCTATACCTAATTTACAAAATTTCATCCCAGTAATAACAGGGAGAGCCAGGATTCAAAATCATATCTGTATCTAATTGCAAAGGTTCTTGCCCATCCAAATGACTTGCTACATAATTTTCAGAGCCCATTATAAAATAAAAGTGTCAGACCTGTTGTTAAAAATGATTAAGATGTTTAACATGGCAACAACAGAGCCTTAAAATAAGTGTGGGGCCCTTCTTAGAGTAAGGCCCTGTACAATTGCCTATGAAGCCAGCTTTGTCCACTCAAGCAAACTTATTCGTGGTTTCTAATTCCTGTAATGTGATTTACATGGATAAAGCAACTCTTTAACTGTTTTAAAAAGAAGCATTAATTAGTTACTGAACCATGGGGAAAAACTAACCTATAAATTCCAAATCTGAAATACCAGGCTGAATCCACAAACACATATCAAAGTGAAGTTATTTGAAGCCACCATTCCAGGATTTGGAAGGCAGAGCCTTGGGGCCAAATTGGCAAAAGTCTCAGAAGGACGGAACTAGGCTGGGCAGATCATTAACAATGAATTCAATCAAGATAAAATAGTAGACTTAGCTTTGTCCTTAAATCTGGCTCTGAAATACAGATTAACTCCACCATCCAAATGACCCAGTTTTTCTGTATTGTGATATAAATGGCTGTGCCTTTTAAGGCTAACCGAAGTTTTTTTTTTTTTTTTTTTTTTTTTTTTTTTTTTTTTTTTTTTTTT